AAGAAGTGCAGCCAGAGTGCTCCTTGGAGGCCAGGATGGCCAGACTTCATCTCTCATACTTCGAATATATTGTCAGGAGGGACTAGTCGCTGGAGAAGGATATCATGTTTGGTAAGGTGGAGGGTCAGAGGAAAAGAGGAGGACCCCCAGTGAGATGGATTGGCAAAGTGGCAGCATCAATGGGCTCAAGTGTGGCAACAATTTTGAGGTTAGCCCAGGATCCGGCAGTGTACATAGGGTCACTGTGAGTCAGTACTGACTGGACTGCACCTAACAACAACAACATATGCATATGAAAGTTAGATAATGAATAAGGAAAACTCTAGAAAAAAATTGATGGTTTTAAGTGTTGGAGAAGAAGTAAGTATCCTGGACTTCCAGAAAAACAAAGAAACCTATGCTGATAATATTACAGCTGAAGTGCTCCTTATAAGCCAGGGCAGTGAAACTTCATCTGTCTCATACTTTGGATGTGCTATTAGGAGGGACCAGTCCCTGGAGAAGGACATTATGCTTGGTAAAGTGAAGGGTCAGCAAAAAAGTTCAAGATTCCCAAAGAAATGGTTAGAAACAATGGCAGCTGCAATATACTCAAATGTAGCAATAATTGTGAGTATGGCTCAGGACCAGGCAGTGTTTTGTTCTGTTGTGCATAGGGTACCTAATAATCACAACATGTTTTCAGAGTAGAACTGCACCACAGGATTTTCCAGGTTGTAACATTTCAGAATCAGATCATCAGACCTATCTTCTGAGGTGCCTGTGGGTGGGTTTGGATAGATCATATTTTGGCTAATAGTTGTGCATGAAATCATTTTTGCCGCCTAGGGAACCCAAAAGAGAAAAACCTTAACACCAGTATTTTCCATTTTGCTACCAGGTAAAGGTTCTAAAGCCTGGGGGTAGTTAGGTTGTAACTCTTACAACCTGACACTGAGCATTTAACAAAATTGCTATCAATTTTTAGCCTTTTTAAACTCAATTTGTTGCTTTTGTTAGTTGCTATTGGCATTGACTCATGGCAACCATTTACATACTAGAATAAAGCACTGCCTCATACTTTGGATGTGCTATTAGGAGAGACCAGTCCCTGGAGAAGGACATTATGCTTGGTAAAGTGAATTAAGTAAATGATCATGCCAAGTTTGAGTCCATTGTTATACTATTTGTATTTTGAATGCCTTCCAATGTAGTGGGTTCATCTTCCAGTCCTATATTTGAAAATATTCTGTTGTAACCCATGAAACTTTCATTGACTTATTTTATGAAATAGACCAGCAGACCTTCCTAATTTGCTTTGGTCTGGAAGTTCTGTGGAAACATGTCTACCACATGTGATCCTGTTTCTATTAGGAATACCAGTAGCATAGCTTTGAGCATGCTACTGCAGTTGACAAACTGACAGGCAGATGGTGGCTTTAACTCAGTAGTTTTCTTTCATTGACTCACCAAATGCAAGTGTCTCTCAAGACTCCCCTTTTGTTACTCTACCTACTCCTTAGTGGTCTCTGTAACTTTATGGTTACATAAACTAGTTTCTAATCTATCTATACAGTCTCTTTTCTACACGTTTGTTGTTGTTGTTAAGTGCTGTTCAATTGGTTCTGACTCACAGTAATCCTGCATAGGGTTTCTGAGAAGCAGGTGGTGAGTTTGAATCACCAACATTGCGGTTCAAACTGACCTTGCAGTCCAGTGTTTATCCTACATACAGCACCACACCAGGACTTTTATTTCCCGCTGTCTGCAGGTACCTCCCAGAGGGTTGAGTTCTTGTGGAACAGAGACTCTGCTGGGTGGTTTTGGTTCCTGCCTCTAGGTTCAGATTCAGCCCCACCCTTCCTGTTATTTACTTGCATAGACTGGCCTCTATGGGTTGCCAATGGATTGGTCTTTGAAGTTCTTGACTCACCTACCTTTTAATCAACCTGCTGGAGAGTAGTGTCAAAGCAAAGAAATCCAGTATTTCTCTGATACTTCAGATCTTACTTTGGTTCCTTAGCAAAAATGTGGAAGGAAGGCTTTTGATCTGGTTTTTGTCTTCCTTATAAGGATCATCTCTTGACACTGTAGCTTCACTGCCAGCCATCCTATGCTTCCACAAAACCAAGCAACTTCACTCCTCTGTGCTTTTGTACAAACTGTACCTGTTAACTGAAACCCTTGTCTTTTCCAGGAATTTCCTAATCTTTAAAAATTCTACTTTCCTTAAACATACCTTTTCTAACAACCTACACATGCCCAGCTACAGTGAACAGTATTAATTACTCCCTTTTGAAGCTCCCTTACCAGTTTAGTTTTACTTTTACATGTTTGTGTTAGATGGTGAGTAAGGGTCCAAGTTCTTAAGTTCACAGTCTGAGGGAGACAATGCTTCACACAAAATATATCCCAAATATATCATTGGGATATATAGCATTAAGCCTAAAGGACTATTGGCATGTCAGGATAGTCAATTTGAATAAATGTGAGAAATTATTATTTTCCAAAGAAAATATTCACAATTTAGCATAAACATTTTCAATTGTTTATCACATTTTGTTTACTGCCTGAATTGAGAAATGACCAGTGAGCGTTGGATGTCCATGCCTTTAACTTTGAAGTCAGGTAAAGATAATGAATCATGATTTCTTGGTGACTATTTGGAGATTACAAAACTCTGGGGAAGAGAAGGCCAAGATAGATCGCTAACCTCCACTTTCCTTACATAGGATGTTTGTAGGAAAATGGTATTTTACTTTTAATGAAATATAAAACAGTAATTTTCCTTGGAATTGGGTATGTACGTGTCAAACTTTCTGCCCTTAATTTTTTCTTTAATTTTAGGTCATACACACAGACACTGATCAGAGTTTGACCTTGAACAAATACAACAGAAGAAACAGTTCTAAAAATTAAAAATGCTATAATAAAGTGTTGACTAAAGAGTGCTGGGCTAATATTAAATAAACAGAAGCAATCATATTACCTATAATTTTTTTGTTATTGTTGCTTCCATCAAATCAACCTCCAATTCATGATGATCCAATGTACAATAGAACAAACTACTACTCAGTCCTGCCCCATTCTGCTGATTGGCTGGGAATTGACGTAGAGTATTCATTGGCTTACTTTCAGAAGTAAATCATGAGGCCTTTCTGCCTAATCCATTTAAGTTTTGAGGCTCTGTTGAAACTTGTCCAGCACTATAGAAACACATAAGCCTCCACTGACAGGTGGGCAGTGCTTGTGTATGAGTGGTATTGTCTGGGAATCGAATCCAGATTCCTATCATGAAAAGTGATAATTCTGCCACTGACCCACCAATGTTCCTGGATGCTTCAAAAGGTTCAGCTGGTAACAGAAAGATTGGAGGTTTGAGTTCACCCAGAAGTGACTCAGAAGAAAACTCTGGCAATCTATTTCCAAATAATCATTCATTGAAAACCCTGTGCAGCACAGTTCTACCCTGACACACATGGAGTCTATGTGTCTATGAGTCTGTGGTAACTACTTTATTAATTATAGTACTGATGGGCTAATTCTTGTTTAGTTGTAAGATTGAGAAGATTTGAATATTGTGATATGTTGAAAGACAAGCACTCCTTCCTTCTCTGCTGATGTTTAAAAGTACATTGTAGGTAGGAAATCCTATTGAAAGGATGAGTCTTGTACAGAAATATGGTAATATTCCACCACCAAAAACACTAAAAATATGTTTTTGCTACCTTCCATTTCTAAAATGTTTTCATTCAACCCTAAACAACTAGAAAACTAAGAGTTACTCCCATTTTATTAATGAGAAACTAAATATCAAACATTAAAAACGACTAAGGTAATAAAAGCAGTAAGAATTAGCCCTGAGACTCTAAACTTGATCTAAGTGAAGGAAAAATGTTTCTTTTGCTTCTTTCCATTTCCCTTTAAGTTTTTCCTTTGTTAATCAATTCCTCATTCCCTCCCAACTCCTGGCACAGCACTTACCCACAGAAACCATACAAGGCCTACCTGTCATTGTCCATTGCCCTCTCCAAATTTCCTTCAGCAATGAATTTTCAATGACACATTTATAAGGCTTATTTGAAAATGTTATATTCCGTGTACTTTTGATATGAAATGGAGACTCAAGTTCTTCCACAGAGCTTTCAGAGACAGATTCATTCCCCACTTGCCATGTGATACTTGAATGAGGATAAATCATTGACACACCACATGTTAGGAAGATGCTTGAATTTATCATTTCATAATTCATTGTAGGCATGAGGAGAGCTGTGTGAGAGAAAGACATATGAAGAAGTGTCATCACTAGCTTCTCTTTAGACCATCCATGGGGCACACTTATTATTATATGATATGAAAAGTTGAGCTTTATGAGCAAAACAGCATTTACTGAAAGGAAAAACAAAACAATAATGCGATAGAAACTTATCATACAGTGTACTTATGTGTTGTTGGTGTCAAGTGCTGTGGAGTCAGTTCCAACCCATAGCGACCCTGTATAGGGTTTCAAAGGTATGGCTGGTGAGCTTGAACCACCAACCTTGCAGTACAAACCAACTTTGTAGCCAGCACATTAGCCCACAGAGCCATACCAGGACGCTGTGAACTTATGTAGAAGAGGGAAGAAAGAGTACACATTTCATATATACATAGCAACTAGCACTCTTAACTCTAAAAACATAGCTGAGAAAGACATCTACTAGCTTGACTTGGGAGACAAATGTAAGTGTCCAAATCTATGAATTGGAGCTTATGAAGTTCTCCTAAGCATCTTCTCAGATGCTTATTCAGAGACAATTTGAATTTTTTTTATACATAATTCAAAGGATCTTGGATTTCTGAGTCAACATCTATAGCAGCTAAATGGAACAGAGGAATAAGGAGCAGGTGCTAGATAAAACCATCCATTGGAAAATGGCAAACAACAACAACAACAACAACAACAAAAAACCCATAGATAATACAGAAAAGAGGAAAGCATACGAAAATTTAAAATTCATTTATAAAACAGTAAAATGAAACTAAAATCAATAATTCACTATTTTTTTTTCAGCCATCCTGTTGTTGTTGTTATTACTGTTAAGTGCTTTTGAGTCACTTCTGACTCATAGTGATCATGTATAGGACTTCCAAGGAACATCTGGTGAGCTTGAACTGTTGACCTTGTGGTTCAAAAGGATCTTGTAGCCTAGTGCTTTAACCCGCAGCATCACACCAGGACTCCCTCAGTCATCATATTGTCAATAATTCTGAGGACTGATGTTTCATTCTAACCAGACTCAGGAGGAAAATGGATCCTATTGTGCTATAGGAGGCAATAACATTAAAATCCTACTTCTGGCACTTTTCTTTCAGATAATTTCTAAGTACTAACTATAGCTATTAGGCTGGTTGTTCTATACAGCATTGTTTTAATACAAAACATGATTATGTAGGATTTAATACAAAAGTATTGATTATCAATCCATGGGGAAATAGCTAAGTTATAATGTCTATAATATAAGGAGCTGTGGTAACATAGTGAGTTACAAGTTGGGTTGCTAACTACAGAACCAGTTGTTCTGTGAGAAAAAGATGAGAGTTTTTGTTCCAGTAAAAATTTACAGCCTCAGAAACTCTAACCAGTGTTGCTATGAGATGGAACCAACTGTATGGTACATACCCACTACTATCACCATACTCTGAGACACTTTTCATTAAAAAGAATAAGGTATATCTGTATGTATTGACTGAAAGGAGGTGATAGCATATTGTTGAGTGCCATCCAGCTGGGTCTGATGCTTTATAGGGTTTCTAAGGAGCGATGGTGGGTTTGAACCACAGACCTTGTGGTTAGTGGTCCAGTGCTTATCCTACAAGTGCCATATTTAGACACTGATAGCATATTAGGTTAAGAAAAAAATACTGTACATTTTATAATAACAAGGGAAGAACCCATTTTTATGTTCGTATATATATATATACTCCTTATATGTGCACTTACCTCCTACGATTAACACTACTTTTTTTTCGGTTCTTGTTAATTTTGTTCCCACATAACATGTGTAAATTCCTGCATCCTGAAGACTTAGTCTTCTGAGACACAGAGAAGCATTCCCATTGTGGATTTCACTATGAAAGAGTGATGTCCTACTTGAATATATAGGACTTTGCCTGGCAAGCTGGTCACTGTCTTTATAGAAGCTGTGAACATTGTGATCTTTAATCTTCCAGTGAATTGCAATGTCAGGCCCGTTCTCAAACGAGCAAGGGAGAACTGTATCTTCATTAAGTTTTCCAATGACTGTTTGTTCATTCATAGTATCAGAAAAATTGCTGTTGGAATCTAGAGAAAAGGGATATAAAATCAGGAGTCAAGAGGTTATAAAGATATTTAACACTTATCATGGGTTATATTGGAACTGCCTCAAAGAACCATCCTAGGTAAGAAGCCTAATCATTAACAGACCACGTCATCAAAAACCCTTAATAGTCTTATTACTAAACCATTTCATGACTTGCTTCTGAGTTTCTACAATGTTAACTGAATACCAGTTTGATTCCATTTAACTGTTTGTGAGGTTTGGCAACAGACCAAAGCATAGAAATACTGGTTTGCTCCCCACTTGATCAAATAGTCTCAGTTTTCACCTTGGCTTACTACAGTGCTAGAGATAATATATAATCTCTATTTAAAAGACTCCTGTTGATTTTTATTCCCCAAACAGATTCACTTTAAGCACCTATTATAACAATAATAATGAAGTCCAGATGTGATCCTTTAAGATATGCACTGGACTGCTAACCACAAGGTTGGTGGCTCAAACTCACCATCTCCTCGTTGGAAACCCTATACAGGATTGCTTGCTATAAGTCAGAACTGACTTGACAGCATTTAACAATGATAACAACAATAATAGATTAATATATCCAGATAATTAGAACCAGTGGGACCTAAAATAATGGAACATACTTATCTTGGTTGGGTTGGTTAAAAACTTGGAGCAGGTAGAAGACAATGTTGGGTTAAGGAAGTTGTTAGTTGCTAGTCTCAAATAAGAGTAGACATGGACAGGAACAGCCCAAAGGGGAAATAAAGTGATTCATTTAATTTGGTTAAGGATGGCATTCAGGAAAGCCTATGCACTTTCAAATCAAATTGTTGTTGTTGTTGTTAAGGGCCATCGAGTCAGTTCTGACTCAGAGCAACCCTGTATAGGGTTTCTAAGGAGTAGCAGCTGGGTTTGAACCACCAACCTTGTGGTTAGCTTATCCTGTAGTGATACAAGAGTACTCCTCAAATTAAAATAAAGGAACTACTATTATGGACACAAATATAAGTCCAATAGTCCTGATTTACTTGTGGCTAAACTGTCAATTTCAGAAGTTTATTCCAAAGGATAAATGGATTTCATCACACTACAAATTTTTTTAAAAAGAAAACATTCCTAGCTACTTCATAACCATTAAAGGCAATTTTCATCTTCTTTGACCAGTTCATAAAGCACTGTGAATTTCTTTATGGATTCTAAGATATTAGAGATGGAAGAAACCATAGCTTATAGGCAATAGAATAAACTCCTCTGGACTTTGGCTGAGCTCATACCCAAGATGGGAGAAATGCTACATAAAGTCTTCTCTTTCTCTTCCTCCAAGGCTCTTTCCATCTTGCCATGTCTTTCAGTTCAAGGCAATGTTAGTTTCTTTATGTGCAGGGAGCTGGAGGAATGACTCTTATACTGAGAGAAAGCCATGGGAAGGTAGGAAAGAAAAGCAGTGATTGTGAAATTCCCTGATTGCTATTCAAAATCTGCTAATATTTCAATGGCTAAGTATGAATTCCTGTCTCAGACAATAGCAAAGCTTGCTGTCAAGTGGTAAATATCAAGTTAACACTAAAAAAAAATCTGTCAATTAATCAAACTAGCCTTTCTAGTAATTTTATTTCTGGTAGTGGTAACAGACTAGAAAGAGCCTTAATCAGTGTGGACAGAGAATCTAGGGTTTTTAATCTTCATTTGGACTCCCAGCCCTTTCCCTGTTTTCTCATTTAACTGTTATTTTAAAAGTGCTTATGATGCTATGGTTCTAGAGGAAACAGCCACATTGTAAGTGTTCTTATCTAGTAAAACAAGTAGCCAACATGTGGGTATATTATAAACAGACTTACCCTGCAATCCATTCAGAAATGGTATGAAAATGAAGATGAAAGACAGCACTGCCTCTGCCCTCATTGTTCTGTGAAGATTATATTTATAATGTTATGAACCTTAAACACAAAAAAAGAAATTGAAAAAAGAAAAAGAAATTAAGTGTCTGACTACATGAAACTGTCAATTAAACTATGGTTGTTGTTGTGAAGTGCCATCGAGTCACTTCTGACCCATAGCAACCCTGTATAAGGGTTTCCGAGGAGCAGCTGGGGAGCTTGAACCTCCAACCTTGCAGTTGAAATGGCTTTGCAGTCTGGTGCATTAACCCACAGCACCACACAAATAACTCCTTTGGCAGCAGTTAAAGATGACATTGTAAAAGATGGTTCAGTGGCATGGAAGGACGTTCATGTTTTAGGAGACAAATCAGATTACAATGCAATTTTTAAATCGCATGATCCCCTCTTAAAAGCCTGCTTTTATATTCACATAGGAGATTAACAAGATACACTGTATCACTGTATATACTAACACCAACTCTGAAGGGCAGAATTCACATCGAAATCAGAGCCTACTATATACTATAATGAATAATGGCTTATTGAATGAATGAATAACTGTTACATGTTCAACAGTGGTTCTCTGCATAATGATCTTTGCTATTTTTAAAGCTTTCTACAATAGACAGGTAGAGCTTCTATAGTAAAATAAAATACTAAAAACTGATTTAATTAACTTTTAAGTGCTACTAATGTTTAACTGCATTGTGCTGGTAAGTGTTGTCCAGTAGGCTCTGACCTACAGTGACCATGTATAGGGTTTCCAAGTAGCAACTGGGGGGTATAAACCACTGACCTTGAGGTTAGCAGTACAGTGCTTAACATACAATGCCACTTCAGGGCTCCAATGTTAACTATGGAGTAATGCTTTTGTAACTAGAGATAAGTAATTATAGTCCTGGTGTGGTGCTGTGGGCTAATGCTTCAGACTGCAAAGCCGTTTGGACTGCAAGGTTGGCAGTTCAAGCTCACCAGCTGCTCCTCGGAAACCCTATACAGGTCACTGTGGGTCAGAACCAACTCAACGGCACTTCACAAACAACAACAATTATAACAAAACCTGAATACAGCTCACATCCTTAAATGTGCAATAATAGATAAAATTACAATGCTACCATTAAGGAACTCTGGTAGCCTAGTGGTTACGAATCAGGCTGCGAACCACAAGGTCGGCAGTTCGAAACTACCAGCTGTTCCATGAGAGAAAGATGAGGCTTTCTACTCCCATAAAGATTTACCGCCTCGGAAACCCTGTACTGGGTCACTATGAGTCTAACTGACTCCACGGCATGTAACAACAATAAACCATTAAAATTATGTTTTACAAAAGGTTTTCAAAAGCTTCAAAAGTGAGAATCATTGCTTAGGTAGGAACATCAAGGTTTTTTTGTTGTTTGTTCTTATGGAAAATGTAGCTACAGACAGTGTACTGGTTTTGTAATGTACAAATAGTATAATGATTGTACAACATGATTGATGTGATTTATTTTCTTGAATTGTGCATGTGAAAAATGTTGAATTGTCAAAAGTGTCCTTCATATTTTTACAAAAATAAAAAACACTTTTTTAAAGCGAAAAAATATAGATGGCAAAGGTGTGTACATGTATAACATAATTTCAAGTAAGTAATAAATAACTGATTTTCCTTAGTGACAGGATTATAAGTAATCTTTTCTCTCAAAAAAAAAAAAAAAAGCTTGTTTAAAGTATAGTATATATAGTTAGATTTAGAACCTCTAAAAGAAAATTTTAAAGAAATAATTTGAGAGTTCTTCTAGTCACAAGCTGGATATGCTAGACAATGAGTAGGGATGATCGGAGAATTGATGCATTTGAATGATGGTGTTGGCAAAAAATATTGAAGTTACCATAGGCTGCCAAAAAACAAATAAATCTGTTTGAGAAGAAGTATAGTCAGAATGTTCCTCAGAAACCAGGGTTATGAGACTTGTCTCATGTACTTTGGGCACATTATCTATTGGTGGGGGATTGGTCCTTAAAAAGGATATCACATTTGGTAAAGCAGAAGGTCAGTGAGATGAACAGATACAATGGTTACAACAATAGGTTCAATCAAAACAACAATCGTGAGGATAGTGTAAAACCAGGCCGAGTTTCATTCTGTTGTGCATAAGGTTGCTATGCGACAGAGCCCAGCCAACAGAACCTAACTAACAAAACTATGTGTTCCAAATTTATTGTGGGATATGAGATTTAAGACTGATTAAAGCTATAGGAAAAAACTAATATTAGATTCATTCATCATGTCTAACCAAACTAAAACCTGGTAGATAAATTATTTATAGTTTCACTTTATATATTTTTAAGTACTAGAAGAAAATAATTGAATATTTAATCTTGAAGGAGGGTCTATTTAACATGACTATATATTTTTCCATTATGTATACATCTCATAAAAATGGAAATATAATACAAATATTAAAATACAAATAAATAGGGAAAACTATTGCAGTATTACAAAATGAACATTCTAGTAGTTTTAATTTCTTAGAACTAAAATACAGGTAAAGTAAAAACTGTTGTAAAGCTGTATTAGTTACGAATATGAAACTTTTTGTTTCTCCAGAAAAATATGTTTGAATGTATAAACTAGGAAAGGACATATACCACAATGATTACCTCTGGATGGTAGGATTATTAATAATTTTTAAACATATATTTCTACTATGAGAATATGTTACTTATGTACTTGTTACCTTTCTAGGTGTGGTGCTGTAAGATCAACAGAGAACTGTGAACCGTAAGGGCAGCAGTGAACCACCATCTACTCCTCGGAAACGCTATACAGGGTCACTGTGAGTTGGAACCAACTTGATGGCACTTAACAACAACAACAACAATAGGCCATCAAACAAACAACAATAAAAACACATTGCCACCAATTACAACAAAACAAAACCTTAAGATTTCATCATAGTGCCTTTCCAAGTGATAATGTAACTTTGGAACATTCTCTGCCCACATTCCTACTGTATAGGTTTGCCACCCCACTTTGGGAAACTATTTGTTACATTATCTTGAAATTTCCAATATCTCCTCTTTTTTAATCCCTTTCAGCTAATGTTCTTTTTTCATTAATTTTGAGTGTGTTGTGTTGTTGTTAAGTACTGTCAAGTCGGTTCCAATTCATAGTGACCCTATATAGGGTTTCCAAAGAGCAGCTAGTGAAATTGAACTGCCAACTTTGTGGTTCAAACTGGCTTTTCAGTCCAGTGCATTAACCCACATCGCCATACCAGGACTTACATGTCATCAAGGCAGTTACCCCTGCTCAGCAGAATGAAATGCTGCACAGTCCTGTGTCATCCTCAATTATGATGAATTTTTGCTATTGCCATCAACTCAACCAACCCACTAGCAGCTATGGCCACTCTTCTGCCTCACCTTCTGTTCCTGGTCAAGATTATTTTTCTACCATTTTAACTATTGTATTCTACACCAACAGGTTCTTTCTACTATATCCATCCTATAAGCATATATGCTCCAGTCTCTTTCACCTTAGGTACATGACAAAAAACACAATTCTCTCTTCATTAGTTATCGACCACTTTTTCAGCTCCATTAAGTTCTTGAAGTATTTGTTGAAACAGCTACCCCCATTTCCGCCTTTACTGTTTTATCCCCAGCCTGTTCTAAATGAGCTCCTATCTATACCATGCCTCAAAAACTGTCCTAGTCAATGTCACCAAAAACTTCCACCTTGCTAAAGACTGTGGATACTATCTGTGCTCATTTTACTTAATCTCTCAACAGCATTCACCATTAGGGGCTATTTAGTTACTTTTATATGACTCCACTTTTGATGTCTGAGATACCACATTCTTCCAGTTTGTCTCCCTCACTGCTGCTCCTCCTCACTCCTTTCTTAGTCCTTTCCTCTGCTTGCCTTTTTTATCTGGAATTATCAAAGGGCATATTCAAAGGCCTTCTACTTACTCTATATTCAGTGCTAGGTGAGTAAATTTGGTCTGGGACTTCAAATGTTGTCAGTACATAAATGATTGTCAAATCAGTCCATTCTCAGATCAGTCTCTCTACTTAGTCAAGATTATGCATTTAACTTTCTGTTTATTCTGGTTACTTTTACACCTTAAAAGTGGGAGAAAGTCCTGGAAATCTGCTTCCATAAAGATTATAGCCTTGATACAATCCCAATCCAGATTCCAACAACATTCTTCAAAGAGATGGAAAAACAATTACAAACTTTATATGGAAAGGAAAGAAACCCAGGATAAACAAAGCATTGATTAAGAAGAATAAGGTTGGAAACCTCTCACTCCACGACTCCAAAATTTATTACACGGCTACAGTGGTCAAAACAGCTTGGTACTGGTAGAATGAAAGATACGTAGATCAATAGAACAGAATCAAGAATCCAGAAATTAACCCATCTACATACAGCCAACTGATTTTTGACACAACACCTAAATACGT